GATCATTTCTATCAAAATATTTTTCAAGGAATAGTTTGAAAATCTGCTGGAAAAGCTCAAGGACAGAAATCAGCTGATCAAGAAATAGGAAACAAACATGAAGACAGATGAGATGTAAAAGATTAGGTATGTGCTCCATAGGTATAACTCAAGTCTGAAGAAACATGATACTCCTAATTTTTTTCTCTGTGAAGAAGTTTAAGAAAAATGTGTGAACACATTTTTTAAAATTCTTTTCATCTTTTACTATAGCTTCTTCGAGCTGATAAGAGAATCACCAATTGGTAGTTCATTGAGCTTTTATGAAGAATTTCAAGAAAAAGGAAAAATAGTCCATAGTAAATGTTGTGAAATCTGAAAACAGGGCAGGGCTTGATCTACGAGAGGAAAGACTTTTTTTTCTTTTTTTTTCTTTCCTTTTCTTTTCTTTTCTTTTCTTTTCTTTTCTTTTCTTTTCTTTTCTTTTCTTTTCTTTTCTTTTCTTTTCTTTTCTTTTCTTTTTCTGGAGGGAAGAAAAAGCTAGAAGCCCTCATGTACAGAATAAGGTAGAGGTTAAACTGAACCAAACCCTTTAAACAGATAACCCATGATTCAATGGTAGCTATCAATCAGGGCTGTGAGCACAGTTTAAAGTCTGCTTGCACAACAGATTCGCTGATGCTCAAGGCAGTTCAGTACAACAAATATAAGAGCTCACTGGTGGACCACTTCACCCAGAGTAGTTTATGTACTTCACAGCTGATCTGTCAAGGTGAAGCATAATGATAAAAGAGGTGAATTTCTTCCAGTTACGAACATAGGTCACCTACAGCAAACTGCATTGTTGCAGAAATACATGTTCATAGAGTTTATTATGCAGAGAATATTTAAGTGTCCAGGGCATAACTTGAAATCTGGAGCATTAGGTGGAAAGTAATTAGATAAAAATATGTAAATATGTACAATTCTCCAATATGGGTTTTCTGAAAACACTAGTGAAGAGTTACTTAACGTATGAGACTTCAAAATACACTGATTACAATTCAGCTGAATATTATTTAAGTTTAAAAGTCATGAATTGCAAGGTGCATTTTTTAAAGTATGGAAATGATTTTCTTCACATTCTCTGTGATGAAAGGATAATACTCACAATGGCCTACATATCAAAGCCAGGAACAAATTGTTTCATTTTCACAAATTAATGGAAAAGAGGGGATACCATGTGTTTATGAATTTGTGTGCACAAATGTAAGAATTCAGCACATTTCTTAGAAACGAAGCAATGCTTTGCATCGATAGACAGAAATAAATAAGAAATGCTACTAATTCTGAGAAGATTTTTGTTTGTACAGATAAGAAGAGATGTCTGTGTACTTGACAAAGCTCCAGAGATATAGATTAACTCTACTGCAGTCTTAGTGCTCTGTCTAATCACACGTAAACTGTGAGTTCAGCTGGGATTTTTAAATTAAAGAAACAAAAAACAAATGCAGACACAGAAGAGGGAAGATTTTAGAACTGGAATGCAACAAGATGTCGTATGTATTACATAGAGACTCTGCTAGCTGGCATCAGAGACAGATCTATTACCTGCTGCCACAAGAAAAAAAAATCCTATATAATTTTTGAGTTCATGGAAAAGTAATAGGTTTAGTGTCATCTAGGTTTATCTACCACTCTTAAATCTACAAGGTTAAAAAAAGAAGAGAGATATACAAAGAGTAACTATTCTAACTACTTAGATTCAACTACCACAATGAACAACATGAGGAAAAGTTCATATGTATGGAACAATCAAAGAGTGCTACAATCCCCCACAAGGAATAAACAGCAATTAAAATACTATGTCTTTCAATATATATGCTTATCCCATTCAGAATGTAACATTTGTAATATAAACATGAATAGATAACTGATCAATTGTTGGGACTACAACAATAAAACTACACAGAAAGTCCTGCTAACAAATAAATTTCTATTCTAGCTTTTGGCTTTAGTGAGTGTGTAAAGAATCCAGTTCTTTATACCTGGTTTTTAAGTTGGAAGCAATAAAATAAAACAAAATGCTCCTTCAAGTCAACGTAAAGACTAATAAAGATTTTTTTTTATGATTTACATATTCTGTGTTACTCTGTGAAGTCCTTTCAGAAATTCTCTATCCAAGATTCTTGAACCTTTTATTATTGTTTTCATTCTTGCCAAAATGGGACCATTACCCCTAAGTACTAGGTGAATTCCAAATACTGAAACAGAGTTCTCCTTTCAGTTTTAAATGGATTAAATTCTTACATTCCAGCACTGCTTGGAAGACACATTAAAACAACAAAATCATGTCTTGCTCATGAAAGTTTCACATAAAGATGTGGTGTAAATCTAACAATAAATGTTCTACAAAGAATATGCTGATGAGTTGTAATTATAAAACATCATATCAAAAAGACATAGTAGGTACTACTCCGAACACCACTTATTATGAAACACATAAGTACTATGAAACACTGGTAGTTAAACACTCATTATGGCAGGATTGTTATTAAATAAAAATCTAAAGAAGATCCTCTAGACAGACCCTATTATTTTTGCATCAAACAGTCCAACAGTTTCACAACATAAGGACTGATCTAACTTATAACTCGTACTGAAAATAAATATTCAACACTAAGCTACAAAGTCCTGTTGCCATCAGATTTCAGTTAATAGTATCTTCCTTTAAATGACAGAAAAAAAAATCCAATTGTATTCACAAAACGTTCTTTTAATTCTGAATGACGTGTTCTGCAGCATTCACCAGGAGATTATCGCTTTAGCTTAGATCTGTTTCCATATAAGAAATATGGGTCAGAAAATACTGCCACTTATTAAATGCTTCTGCAGTATGCAATAACAATTTTGTAGATAGTCTTGACTAATCCTCCATTTTCTATTTCTAAATATATGCTTGCAAAAGTAGAATAAAAATTCTATCTTTAGTTTTGAAGGCTAGCATAAACATATATATATATATATTTTATACAACTCTACAAAATCAGACTCCACTACTCAGTATCAAACATATTCTGTAATGTTCTACAATGAAAATAATGCTTCCAAGTATATCAGGATTTTATATTGCTGATTCCCCAAAAGCCCAACTGAAAACGTTCGGTAACAATGCTCCAGTGTATTGTGCTTCTGCTCAATAATAAGCATTCTAGTTCTGTGAGCAAGATTAGGTCACTGAACAGTATAAGAAAGAGAAGATAGGAGAAAATAGATCTTCCCTACAAAATATAACATGACACATTTTCACAGCATAAGTAGGAACTCAGTCATACAACTCCTGCTAAAATTCATGGAAACTTCCTGTCAAAAGACTGTGCTTCATGCTGAAAATGTCCTTTAGTGGCAATAATAAGTTAGAACTTCCATATTTACAGATAAATGTTTTACATAAGGTGCTTTACAAAATACTATTTATGATTTATGCTCAGCTATAAACCTATACTTTCAGAATTATTTGCATTATAGGAATACCTCAGAAATTAGTTTGCTGTCTGGTAAAGCGACTTCCAACATACATTTCTGGCTCTTTGAAGTAGATACTTTAAAGAAGGCATACATATGAAGATACTTATTACAGAATGTGCTTCAGTGTGTTAGTTAGACGACTTCTTCATCTCATACACTTCATGTATAGGTGATCTTGTTGAATTATTTATAAACTCGTTTTTTTCTCCCTGAAATACTACCTTTGCATTTATTAGAAAAATGTTACAACCTCTCCAAAATGAAGGAGATATAGATAGTGACAAAAACGTGAGAGAACTTTGGTATTATTTCTAGCATAAATGGAAAAGAAAATTCAATAATTCTAGCATCTACCTGAGAATGAAATTACAAAAATTTGGAGTGAGATTGCATTAAACATATGCTTCTAAAATCATTGCTACGCACTCAAAAAAAAAAAAAAAGTCTCTTTAAAGGAATGTTAGGAATGTTTTAAAACTTTTCTTATTAAAAGGATTTTTTTCTCTTTAAAATCAGCATAATTTATAATTATTTTTTAAAAAAGCTTTAAAATGACTACCGGAAGAAATCTGAAAATGCTATTACATTCAAAACCTTGCTTGTTTGTTTGTTTGTTAGTTTTGGGGGATTTTTTGTTTGTTTGTTTTTGTTTTGCTATTGCAGTAAGAGTCAGAGTTATGATATGTGAGATATTGTATTTCTGTGGGCATCTGGGGTCAGTTCCAGATAATTGACAATGAAAAGGTAAATATAACCGAATTTTTTAACAACAGGGCATGTTTACTCACTTTTTAATATTGAACACAGCAGATAATAAGTGCTTAGGTAGTAAGATAGCCCTATATGTCATTTCCTTTTCAAATTTAACAATTGTTTTACTAGAGCCATTAACCCTGGAAGCTCAGTTAAATGTATTTCCAAATATACTCCTATCGGGAAATCTGGAATTTTAAATAATGTGATCTGTATCAGGGATCTCACCTAGCACACAATTAAAAACTAGTTATTCTGCTATTTTACTTCAAAGATGTCAATACACATCAAGGGTTTTTTTTGTTTTTTTGGTTTTTTTTTTTTTTTTGTAACATGAATTGGCCCGATTTGGACATCTTGGATCAACATGGGCAGCTAAGTACTTAGCTTGAGATTAACTACCATTGTACCAAACTAATTCATGCTAATAAAATAAAGTGTTTTGTCCCCTTCCTTTCTACACACACAGAATGGATGGGAAAGGACGTTTCATAAATTTGCTCATGTCTCTCTATTTGTAAATAAAAAGAGAGAGATAGGTAGCATACTCAAAACTTAGTGACATAACAAACAAACTGGAGCTTTGGCATGGCAGTGGAGTGAATTAACATTGAGAACCCTCAACATTAACTATTGTTCTGTACATCACAAATTAAAATATAAGAGTATAAAAGTAAAAAGTTTTTTGTGACTTTTGACAATTATTAGTAAGAAAAAGATGGTAACAATTGCCAAAAAAATCACAAAAGTTGACATGTTACCTGGCTATGACAAAGAGCACACAACTGACACCCAAGTAAGCCAGCAGAATATACATCCAGATATCAGGGGAGAGAGGATTCAGGAAGGAGAAGACGCCCGGGTTTGTACCATTGGGCTTGCGGTACAAAATACTTATTCCGAGAGTCATAAAAGGCTTGGAAAAGTCGATGACCTTCTCTCGAACATAAGTAATCGCCAATGGTGCAACTGCAAGGTCAGCTTTCTGTTGAGAGAAACACAAAAAAAGAAAGAGGCCATAAATCATTACCAAAATGCAGAAGCAGGCAATCAGATTAAACAAAACACAGACTTCATATGGAGCAGGTTTGCAATAGTTTGGCTGAAATTTTAAACTGTGTTCTTCCTCTTATAAAGAAATGGATTTACTCTAATTCTTTATGCTCAGGAGCATAATAGTAGTTACTAGGGAAACTATAGAAGCTATTGCAAGGATAGAAAAAAAAAGTGAAGCAAAATATTGCATCCTAGAGAGAATAAGATTTGCTATCACTTTTTTAAAAAACACACTTTAATGGTACATATCAATGTATATCTTCATGACATTTTTGCTGTGTTCTTTAAAAGTTCATACGTTGAATCTGTGAATATGCTTTTTTTTTTTAA